TTCCGTCTTCTAGTACACAATATGGATCACCAGAACCTGTTCCGTCTTCTAGTACACAATATGGATCACCAGAACCTGTTCCGTCTTCTAGTACACAATATGGATCACCAGAACCTGTTCCGTCTTCTAGTACATAATATGGATTACCAGAACCTGTTCCGTCTTCTAGTACATAATATGTGTTACCAGAACCTGTTCCGTCTTCTAGTACACAATATGGAATACACCATATTAGTAAAACTTGTGGAATCACCTAGCGGACACCAATACACCATATTAGTAAAACTTGTGTAATTACCTAGCGGACACCAATACACCCTATTACTAAAACTCGTGTAATCACCTAGCAGACACCAATACACCCTATTACTAAAACTCGTGTAATCACCTAGCGGACACCAATACACCCTATTACTAAAACTTGTGTAATCACCTAGTGGACACCAATACACCCTATTACTAAAACTACGTGTAATCACCTAGCAGACACCAATACACCCTATTACTAAAACTTGTGTAATCACCTAGTGGACACCAATACACCCTATTACTAAAACTCGTGTAATCACCTAGCGGACACCAATACACCCTATTACTAAAACTCGTGTAATCACCTAGCGGACACCAATACACCCTATTACTAAAACTTGTGTAATCACCTAGCGGACACCAATACACCCTAATACTAAAACTCGTGTAATCACCTAGCGGACACCAATACACCCTATTACTAAAACTCATGGAATCTGTAAGCAAGTGTCCCCAGTGGCACAGTGGTATGTCTGCAGACTTACAACACTAGAATTCGTGTTTCGATACCCGTGGTGGGCAGAGCACGGATAGCCCATTGTGTAGCTATCTAAATCACTATATACTTGTTTATGAAGTGAATCAAAATTTCACTATTTCAATGAACTTTCATCTATGTTAGTAAATGACTTTTCCAGACAAGCGTACAGAAAAAAAAATGAACCTTATCGCTCTAATTCTTTCACAGAACTCTTCCGTCTGGGGTCCCAATGATTCTTTTCTTGTACTGAAAACGATACTAGTAAATCTACAAATAACGGACGATGCGCTACTTTGGCCACATAATTAGATTTGAGGGTAAGTTAAGCTTTCGGGCATGCCTCTGATACACAGTCCATGTTTCACTGGCATATAGTAGGACGCTCAATACCACTGCCTGATAGACCTTCAGCTTGGTGGTTAGTCTGAACCCTCTTTGCTCCCACACACTGCGATGGAGTCTTCCAAAAGCAGAGCTCGCACGTGCAAACTGGTGGTCAACCTCTATGTCGATGTTAGCGTGCTTCCAAGATAGCGAAAACTCTCAACTGTCTCCAGGTTCACACCATCAATGGATAATTCTGGATCAACTAGAGATCGACAAGGAGCGGGCTGAAGCACAACCTTCGTCTTGGAGGTGTTAATTGTAAGACCGAAATCGCCACATCCCCTTGCGAAGCAGTCGAGCTCCTGTTGCATCGTTTCCACCGAAGTCGCACTCAGCAAACAACAGGTCTCTGATACTAGTCAAACGAACTTTTGTGCACGCTTGGAAACGGCGAAGATTGAACAGCTTTCCATCCATTCGATATCGCAGGTGTATTCCGCTCGGTCCATCCCTGAAGGCGTCTGACAGCAATGCTGATAAATACATACTAAACAGTGTTGGTGCCAACACGCAACCCTGCTTGACGCCACCGGACACAGGAAACTCTATGGATTCTTCTCCGTCACCGAGCACTCTTGCCATCATACCTTCATGGAACTGACGAACTACAGCGACAAACTTCGTGGAACAACCGAACTTGTGCATTATGCGCCAAAGTCCTTCTCTACATACCGTGTCGAAAGCTTTTGCCAGGTCCAGGAAAGTCATGTATAAGTTGCGGTGTTGCTCCTTGCTGCCTCATCAGTTGAAAAACAACCCTGTGTCCTGGACCGCCTACGTGCAGGCTTTTAACTACAGCTTCAAGTGATGTCCACACCTACTGCACTGCCATCGACCTATCGCCGCAGGACTTTGGTTGATGTCGTGACGTGCGCTGGACTTGGATTATAGTGAGGAAGAGTTGCACGAGTCGTCGACCTCACTCTCTCGTCCCTTCCCATCCGGATCCAGTGGCAAGTACAAGTCAAGACGACTGGGGATAGATCAGGATGCAGTGGATGACCGCGACTTCCTATCTGTCTCGCCTCGCTCTCCGCACTCCACAATGCGGTGCTGGTCATTGCTCATTTGCTTGTTGAACCGTTACAGATTTCTTCCGCGCAATTAAGTGTAACCAGACTTCACATGCTTGGGCAGGCAATACCCTCCACAACGAGATCCAGGGAACCAGGAAGTAGTTGCTGCACATGCCACAGCTATTGAAGTTGACGGAAAGTGACGTCGCATGCCGCCTGACCGACTACGGGGCTCCACTCCGGATTTTTCCTCAGGGTTAACTCCCGAAGCCTTCCCCACAACTGGGTATCCCACAAGGCAGCGGAGGTTTAGAATCAGGGTTTTCCTTCCCCTAGATGGACTGCTCTCCTAGGCTGACGAGCTCCATCTGCCCGAAGCAAACTGGTTTTAAGGCGCCAGATATCTGCCTTCGCCCCTTCTCCTGTCAGTAGAAGCAGTTCCGCCGGGCACAGTGATGCCACACGTGCAGGCCAGGAGTTGGACTTAGTGGTCAGAGGCTATTTGAGACGCACGCCTTTTGGGAGCATTTTATAGATAGTAGGAGCTTATCCCCACTACCACTCCCGGCGATGACAACCTTGGAACCTCATTAACTGATTACTCAGTATTTGTAAGTAATGTATCTTCGCCTATAAATATTAGACGAAGTTTCCCTATTAGTACGTTACTATGGTTAGTAGTTCCCTCCATAAAACAACTAAATTATTATACTGAAAATATAGTCCTACGACAATACATTGCAGGATGAGTGGTGCGAAAGGATACGAAGCATCTAGAATGTTCAGTATGTCATGAAGTCCTAATCACTACTAGTACACTGAAACTCCCAAGCAGCAGCTCATACACTTTGTTAGAACTTACGAATGATTGTGGTTTAATGGTATCTTCTGAGGGCATTGTAAAAGTTAGACGAATTGCTGAACAATCCTTAAGGCGAATGGGTAGTATTCGTAAGTTCTAAATAAGACCGTCATTTTTCAAAGTCCAATGAATTTATAAAAATACTGGATGTTTAACAAATTTGAAACAAATGTTTTTGCTCAAATTACACAATTAATTACTGTTCTGAAAACTTAAAAGTTCACACACTTCTCTAACTCTGTACCTAAGTAATAGTACTTTTTTATGGCTTTAGGCTTAAGTACTAATCTTGTAGTTCTTCAACCATAGGGTGAATTCAAATTCGATGACGAGGAACCCACTTTGAGACTAATAATGGCTGGAGACGGCTTAAATGGATAATG